AGCTATCCTCGACTGAAGCAGGGAACTGGATGGGAAGGTGGGATGCCAGAACATGAACCAGTGTCCATATGGGATCCTGGTGCATGCAAGGCAAGGACTCTAGCCACTAGGCTACTGTGCTGGGCCATAAACTTATTTTGAAATTACATTTTCCATGAATTCCTTAAAGGAATTTATGGACTTTCAAATTGTGACTTGCAGACTTTTTTTTTTTTCCGGAAGGAAACTCATATCATAAGGCTATACAATAAAGAGTTAAATAGAAAAGAGAAAATAGATCCTTCCCCTTTTTAAATGTAATTGCTTATAAGACAGTAGATTCAAAGAATCAATGCAGTGATATTGTTCATATTTGCTTACTCGTATCACTTCAAATGTGAATTAAAATCCTATATTAGTATAGTTTACTAAGCGACATATAATGTAAAGTGAAAATACAGAAAAAAATGCAGATACTTTTGTTAGGCTATGAAAGTAGCATGAGTTGGTGGAAATTTCAAGTTAAGCCAAAACACATGTCAGGGAAGAAAAAAACAATTGTGGGACTCATTTTAGAAGGCCGATGATATCACACCTGGAATTCACTGTGGAATATCTCCAACAAAAATGGTTATCTAGGAAACTGGGAATGGTTCAGAGAGAAGTACTAAAAATGACCAAGCGCTTGGAGAGACCACTGCAACAAGAATACATTTATTTAACGTGATTAACAGACGACTAAAAGTGGGCATGATATCTGTTTATAAAAATCTGAAGGTTGACTGTAAACATAGAATACAGAGTAGAAATGCATAATAAGGTACAAAAAGGATTTAACTTGAGAAAAAAAAAATTTCAAGCGAGAATTTGAAAGTAACGAAGCTGTCTCCCAGCAAATGTGCATTTCCTTTTGTTCAGAGAATCTGCCAAGGTTGCTGGAGCTCAGCACAGAGTCCAGCAGCAGAGAATCATCCTCCAGGGTCACCTGTAGATCAGACTTCTTCCCTTTCACAAACTAACAGGAACCGTTTAAAGCTTGGATATAACTGCACAAAATTACCCTGAAAGCATATTTACTTATAGATTTTTCAAAAACAGCAGCACAGACTTCAGATCCCTCAGCAATCATGCTAATTTTTATTTGCTCTCCTAGTCTGCCATTGGTAAAGTCGATGATTTGAACAGTATTCAACCTTGTTCATACTGAGGTTGCCATTTAACAATGCAATTCTCCCAAAGTTAAAAGAGTTTGACTTAGAATTACTAGGAAACAATTGAACGACTGTATTTTTTAAGAACTGTGTCTATTTTTAACTGGAGTTCAAAGGTACACCAAAAGAGTACTCAAGAGATTTGTTATAGGATTATTTCCACAAACATCCAGGCTTCTGTTTTCTTTTTTGGCAAATATAGTGTCTTATTCCATTTTTTTTTTAAGGCTAAAAATCTGTTCTTACTAAAATGATGGCATGACTTTCCCCTTAAGTTTGCTTTTAAATGAAATTAAAATAAAAAACTGTGTTTTGGATCATGAGCTCCTGGAGCACTCTGTTTGTATAATTTGACTTTAAACAAAACTGAAGGCCAAAACAGTGCCATGCACATTTGAAAAATAAACAAATAGTAAATGCTAAGGGTAGAGGCATCTCGTCCAAGAGGTTTGGTTAAGGGAATTGCTAATCAGTGAATTTTATACTTCCATTGATTTTTTGCTAGGAAGTCTTCACATATTTTCTTCTATCCCATCCCGCTACAAGTGTCCTTCGTGATTGATGTGAACATTTATGGATATTTTAATAGCATGATACACTATTGTTTCTGCTTTACTTCCAGAATTCAGCAACAGTTTTCCAAGTTTGGAATTGCCTTTTGGCTGTTTCTCACCATTGTCTTGTAGAACTTTGGTGCAGTACCATACTGTGCCAATAGATGCTACCTCTTCATGTTAACAGTTGGAAAGTGCTAAGCCCTAAAATGAAAGAGAAAGAGGGAAAGGTAGTGAGAAGTAGGGAGGGGAATGGGTGACTGGAACTATCTTTCTGGAGATTAATTTGCTTTTTAAATTATGTAATACAAATTGTTTACATTTCATCTCAAAAGACAGTTTAAAAAGCAAGAATTTAAAAAAATTATTCAAAGGACAGATTTCAAGTAAATTATTAATGGAATAAACACAAAATTTAACAAGAATGATCTTACTGTATATTGGAGTCAACACATCTGGAGATTCAGAGGGATGTGGGGTGTAGTAGTTCCTGTTGGAGATAGAAGGAAATTACAGCTCTAAAACATAGTCACAGTTCATGCCAAATTATGTTGGGTTTCTATTGTATTGTATACAGTTAATAACAGATTATTTAGAGATACTTGGCAATTCAATACTACTATAGGTGATAAAGCAATAACTACAGAAGTTATATTTAATAGAAATGCTGCAAAGAATGTCTTATTTTAGAAAATGGATTGTTGGCCATACAGCCTTAATGTTGAACTGAAAACATCGAGGGTACCCACATGATACAAGTTTTTAAGACAACTATTAAAAGGCATTACTAAGAAGTTGAAAAACCAATATTGTCATATAATTGTAAGTGTTTAGCATCTATTAATGTATTCTTATGTAGATGTTGAAAAGATTAGACAGGAACAAGATAACTCTTGAAAGCAAGGTCAGCATGTTGAAATCCGAGAAGACAGCAAAGAAACATGCTAATGTATGATACTTATGTTAAAGTATACTTTATTAAAATATGACTATTAGTTTTATTCCAGTTATGCATCTCCCCACTTTTTTGGGGGGTAACTAATTCATAATATTTTACTCCAAAATCCGAAAGATGTGCCCCGTTGGGGAGAAGTTTCGAGTTCAGCATTGTATGCAGTTCTTACAGGATATTTGCTATAGCCACAGAGCATTCTTGGACACAAACACTAAAAACACATATTTGGCCTTGATAACACACATCAGATTAAGAATTCCTACTTCTCTGACGAAGACCATGACTACTAATCACAATTGCTGAGTGGCCTTAGAGATTACAAGGTTAGTTTACATCTGTTTAGTAGTAAACTTAAAAATTCTGAGTCCATAATTTTCTCACAGGGAAAAGAGAGAAAGATGCAAAATTAATTAAATCTGTTCTTGGATGGTTTTAAGGGTATATATTCCTCCTTAGGCAAGGAACCCTGATCCAAAACCCCTTTAGTCCAAAACCACCCTCAGAACCCTTTCTATATGAGATCCAGAAAACTCAAAGTGAGGCCTGGCCGTGCCTGTGTCCTCCAAAATAAATCTGCAGGAAGGAACACACAGTAACAGGGGCAGTGATGAGGGCCTTGACCAGATGCAATTTACAACCTCATCTTTTCCACTGCTTCTTAATCAGGGCAGATAACACCTCTAGCGCTAAGCAGTCCACATCAGCGGCAACTACAGACATTTTGCGTTGGTTTTGGTTTTGAAATTGGCGATGTTCACATCAGTTGCATCATGTCCTGGTGCAGCAGAAGATGGAACATATTTCTGGCAATTCTCAGAATTGAATGTAGTTGCTTATGTGTTAAAGGTAAACTGAATGGGAGCATTTCCAAGAGGCCGATAAGGTCCGTTTTTAGGCCTTGTGGAAGGCAATGTGGAAGGTGCCCGTTTTTAGGCAATGTGGAAGGTGCCCGAAGGACACTACACTTTGTGCCTAGAGACCATTGGGTTTCAGGGCTTCAATTTCTTTACCTTTTATGCAGGTTTAACAGTGGATGCCCGACCGTCTTAGGATGGTCACACAAATTAAATGAATTTAAATTGACTACAGTGAACCATAAGGCTCAACACTCAAACATTCTCACAAAATGAAACCTATTATCAACGCGACAATTAAGGATGCTGCTAAAATGGACACCAGGCTTTTGTATAGAGGTGATTATAGGGATGTGAGATTCACAGAGTGTGAATTCTGCCCTGGCTGTGCCACACCACATGTGCACAGTGAGTAGGAAAACCTGTGAAGGTTAATAATGCGTACACAGAAGGCACGGAATGAAATGTCATTTCAGCAATGTGCCTGGGGAAGCTCTGACGTTGCTGTCTGACCTTTGGGCTTCCGGGAGGGAAGCCCATACCTGCGCCCGGCCCTGGAAGGGGCCCAAAAGCTCCCCAGCACAGCCTATCCGCAGGCTGCCTACTCCTAGCTTAGAGCACATCTCCACTGAAAGGCTACTGCCTCCAGGCTGAGAAAGCGCACCGGTTTAGCGCTGGTTGGTTTATGTTTGAAGTCGCGGCAAGAAGGCAAAGTTCCTTCAGTCGCTTCCCCCCCGGGTAAGTGGCAAGGAGGCCGGCAGGGGGCCGGCAGGGGCCCCCACCCTCGAAGGAGGTAACAGGAAAGATGCTGGAGACACCGGGAGCTGCCCCTGCCCCCTCCCAATAGCAGACGGGGGACAGACAGATGTCCCTTCGCCCAGGCAGGGGAGTCCCGCCACGGGTCCTTCCCCTCAGCCTGGAGGTTGCCCTGGGCCTGGCCAGGCCAAGTGGGGGCGGGGTGGGGGCGGCGCGGAGATGACCACGCTGCGACTCGGGAAGCTGAAGGCCGCGGGGGCCCTGGGAGGTCCCCAGGCGAGACCTCAAACGATGACAACAGTCATCCGAGGTCAAATAAAAAAGGAGCCGGTCACCCACGCGCTCCCAGCCCCAGCGACCCCGGCGGCCGCCCGAGCCCGCGGTGGCCTCCGCCGACGTCGCCCCTCCCGCCTCCGACTCGGCGCGCAAGTGCGAGGCTGCCCGCCGCGCGGCGCACGCTCCGGCCGCTCCCCGCTTCCGCGCAAAACTTCCACCCCGTGCGCGTCAAGTTGTCGCTCTCTCCGAAAAGGGGGAAAGGGCTTTTGGGGGAGAGCTGGGAGGGACGAGTGCCGCGGCGGAGCGCGCTCCCTCCTGCTTTTTCTTCTCTTTTCGCGCTGGTCGTCAGTCAGTCAGGAGTTTTGGCTGCTCTCCTGTCCTCCGCCCCCCAACCCCCCACACACACCTCGCCAATTCGGAGCCGGCTTCTCTCCCCCCCCCCCCCTCCGCCCCGTTTATCCCCCACTTGTGTACGCTATTTGTTCGGGGGGTGGCCGAAGGGGATGTCCTGTTTTCACCAGAGGCACAGCGCGAAGAGGAAACTTCGGCACTGGAAGGAAAGAGAATAAATACCGACGCACCGACCTGCGGTGGGGAAGCACACTTGAACTTCGGGACTCCTAGGCGGCCAGAGAGACAAGAGGTCAGTGTCTCCCCGTTGCTTTTAAACTTCCGTCCTGAAGCCCGTGGGGGGAGCGGAGGGGAATCTGGATTTGCGGGGTAGGGGGGCCGACTCTTTTCCTCCCGTCAAGTACGCGCGCACAGCCGGGAGCACCGGAGCGCCGGCCAGAGGGACGCGCCACCGGACAGTGTCTGGGCGCCGCAGTTCCCGGGGACGCGCGGAGCTGAGTGTCTTACGGCCTGAGGGCCGGCACTGCTCTGACTGCAGAGGTGCTCTCTGACCTGGAGGACGCCCCCGCACCCTGAGTTCCCCCTCAGCAGCAGCCTGTCCCCCGCTGCTCCGCCGCAGCGAGCAGACGCAGCTTGGGGCTCACGGCTGAGACCTGCCCGCCACCCCTGCCTTGTGGAGGCGCCTACACCCGCGTCTCCCTCATCCCCTTTGAGCCTTGTATGACTTTACTATGACCCCCCGGATGGGCTAAGACTTAAGGATGCTAACCCAAGGTCCCCGGGATGGCCCCCGGCTCTTGGGTTTACTGGTTGCCGGGTGCGTGTGTAAGTCCAGTGGCTTGGAGGTTGCTCCAAGTACTGGCCGACTCTGGCGATGCTAGTTTGCTAGCCCCTTCTCGCTTGCTCTCTCTCTCTCCTTTCTTTTCTTTCTTCTTCTTCTTTTTTTTAAATGCGGCGTCGACCTAATGTCTCCCTCAGTTTGCCAGGGTCCATGAAATTAGAGGCGCCTTGTCAGAGGAGTCGCGTTCATTGGCTCTGGAAGCTGATGCCGTAGAGGCATTGTAACTTCTGCAAAAGAAGGGACCTGGTTGGGAAGAGCAGGTTTTTTCTCCTACCAAAACCTGCTTGTGGCTTCTGGGGAGGCGGTGGGACTGGCCAAGGCTCGCTGTTGTAGCCTGGAGAAGTGGGGTTTACTCACGTTACTCTGAATTCCCACCCCAACCCCCCATCTCTCCTCTCCCGCAGCAACCCACGCTTTCGTTTGGTAGCACTTTGAAGACTTTGCTTTCTTTGTATCCAAGACTGTGGGACAAACACTTCGGGGAGATTGGAGAGTTTGCGGATCAGATCCCGCAGCCGAACCGTGGCGAAAGCAGAGAGCGGTTGATTTTTCGCAGTCTCCTCGCTAGCTGCGGTGGCAGTGTCTCCCCTGCTCGGGGCTGAAGGGGTTTGCGCGTGGGTGGGAGGGTGCGGGGAGAGCGTTGTTTTTCCTCGCCCCCCCTGCGCCTCTCTGCAGTCATTCATGAATCTAACCCTGAGCGCAGTGGAGAAAGGTGCACAAGAGCGCCCAGGCAGTGTGTTTTGATTTCAGGGTAGCTCCACGTGGAGCACCTCCGTGTGCCTGTGCGTTGTGCGGTTGATCAGTGAGGAGGTAACGGGAGTCTCGTGTTCAAACCCAGTGGGCCGTCGGCCATTAATTTGCTTTCCTGGCTGTCATTACAGACACTTCCAAAATCTGATACCTAAGAGAAGCAACAGGTTAGGTTTCACATTAAGAGCTCATACTTAACAGTTTTCTTTCTCCCTCAGCCCTTTTGGCTTGGCACCCTGGGATCAACGTAATTGTTGGAACGAGGTGTATCTTCTCGAATATGGCCATTTGTCCCTTGCCTCCTCTACAGCCACTTTTTGCACCCTCGGGCGTTCGTCAGCTTCTGTCGGGCTCCTGCGGGACTTAGGTGGGAGTCTTAAGAACTTTAGCAAGTGCACGTTCCCTATGCACAGCTTCTGAAGTTTCATTTAGGCTAGGTGACTGACTATGGATTTTGTTTATTGGACAGTTTTTGTTTTGACTTTTAAAACCATCTCGGGGCAATACTTGAATTTGATAATCCTTCCCCGGGAGAGCTTGGTTGCGCGTAGAAATGTTACCTTTTTGTTTCTCATGTAAAGTTTTTGTTTTGCTAAGGGTATACCTGAAAACCAAAAATTAGGAAAAGATTTAAGAAGAGAATCCTCAAACAAAATATCTGACATGTTGTAGGATGCGTTTTAAGAGATTGGATTAAAAACATTTGTGTATTTAAGAATATATACGATGTCTCCGAGAAGTAAAAAGCGGTAGTGACAGGAGACAGACTGTTTTTTGGGGCAGAAGAAGTTGAATCTTCTGGCTTTAATGCTGAATGTGGATGGAACTACACACGCTTTTATTGTTCTTATAAACCATAAAATAGTTTGTTCCACCTGATTAAAAGTTGTAAGTCAATCAAAGTTAAATCAAATTTTAGAAATGACTGTACAGGAAAGTTAAAACCTTAGACAGTAAAGACTTTGAAATTAATATAATTAGGTTAAACTGGCAACTGTATCTTTCTTTGATTATTAAGGGTATACTCTGGCCTTTCATAACAGTCCCGTGTTAGCATGGCTTTTGAAAGCGTGTTTACCTTTGTAAATTACCTGAATATGGGATTGCAGAACATTTTAAGACCATCAAAATTTAGAAGAGTGTTTCACAACCATAACTGGAATAAAAAGATTTATTTAATTTTCTGTTTGTTATTTATTTTACTGGTTGTTAGAAATTTAATATCTCGATTATGAAACAGTTTCTCATATGTGTAGGTAGTCACATTTTATATTAATATGTCATATTCTGCAGTTAAACATTTAAATCCTAAGATTTGCATAAAAATAAATTGACTCAAGAACAATCTATATCTTATGAAGAGAGAAGCTGAATTCTGGGGGTGACCAGGAGCTGGAAAAGAGAACATTAAGTTAACTCAAACGGTTTTTTTTTTTGTTTTGTTTTGTTTTTGTTTTTAGGGAAGAATGGCAGATGAATAGCTTCTTATTTGTCATAATATTTTGCCTTTAAAAAAATTTTTTTTTCTGGTTAAAAAAACAAGATCTCCGTTTCTAAAGGTTTCTTTTAAATTTATATTGTGATTTGCGGTGTAAATAAATTTTACAGAGACATGGAAAATAAAGTGGTCAGTTCCATGTTTTCAGTCTGTGGTGCAAGTTCTAAGGAACTGATGCTGCATCTGAAAGTGTACTTATGTGGTTCAATATTTCTTTTTTAAAGGTGTAAGTACTTAAGTTATCTAGAATTTTTCAAAAGATAGAATAGTAGGAAGATTGTAAGCATTGTTATAAAGAGTTAGGATGTCTCAGAGTTCACATTCTAACTTTCAAACAGCAAAATTCAACTTATTTCACACATGGGAACTGAGTCCTTTTTATACAGAATTCAAGAGCAGAGATAATCCCTTCCAAGATTTAGTGAAGTATTAAGTAATTTAAGACTGAAAGTATTTATTATGCTTGTTCATTATCTTTTTTTTTTCCTATTAGGTAAATGCAAGAACACTGAACATTCAGTAAAAACAGGCCCCCCTTTATAAGGAGTTTATTCACCATAGTCTGTATTGCAGCTGCTGATCATATTTCATGGAGCTGTTAAAGCACTTAAAACCTAAAATTAGGTACTGTCTGGTTGTAAATATTTCAGATCACTCATATAAGAAATAAATAGAAAAGTGTGTTATCAAAGGTAGGAGAGGTTTTGAATCCTTTCACTGAAGAACTGAACAAACCTCTTTCATACACCTTGTTATTTTTTTTTTTTTTCAGGGAGAATATAATCCTGACAGTTTCTTTTTCAAATAGGTATTATTCTTACATATGCTAAACTCTTATAATGTGGCTCCCAGTAGAGTATCTTGAACTAATTGTGTTCCGAAATACAGTTGGGGGATTTTATTACAATGGTTACTAGGTGAAGGTAATCAACACCGGGGGAATTGGGATGGCTTTGCACTGTACCTGCTTCTCTCATGAATTTTTCCTGGTGAACTGAGAAACGACATGCTTTTTCAGCATTTGCCCTGGAAATGGGTGAGACGTGGTGAGGTGTTTAGTTGCCATGTGTGCAATACTGCATTTTGCAGCTAGATGTGTTTTCGTGTAGTTGGACACTGAATGTTCGTTAAGTTGTACGTGGAGCCAAACTTGGCGTCATGTAGCTTGAATTTGAGTGGATGAAAATAAACAAGAGTCACATATTTAAAAGCAGTACAAGTTAACTTTGATTGCTTCTAAGAGGTTTGAAGACTTTGCAAACATTACTGTCACCTAATATTACATGTGGCATTGCACATTAGTGTGTGCCTTGGTGATATGTCATTCAACTTTTGAAGTTTGTAATTCTTACTGTGTGCCCCTTCTGTGTTTGTACTAACAGAGATAGTGAAAATGTATAACACTCTCCTTCTCCCGACCCCCTTCGCTCTGCCAGAAAAAAGAGATGAAATGGAGTGATTTAAAAATAGAAACCATTTTGAGTTATCAAAACCACATTTATATGGTGGTTTAAGGCAGTTTCAGAGTGTGCACCTCGGAGTCCCACTGTAACCTTTCCTGTCATTGAAAGGCACTAATTGATCTTAGGGCGCTGACATAATAGTATAGTTTGATATTTGAAACCTTTCAGTGTTGGTCTGGCCCCTTTCTCACCCTGCGATTTCAGTACATGGCTGATGAAGAAAGACAACATATTAAAATGCCAGAAGTCCTAATGTTTTCATTATACAAAATACTTTGATGCGATATTATTTATATTTTAAAGCTTTTATTCACGTATAGTAAGTGAATTTATGTTAATGTTCTGTTTTACTGTGGATGGAAGATCTATCCCATTATGTTAGGATTTTTAAAGTATTTTCCCACAGGTGGTAGTTTTATTAGATTTAAACAGTTAGACGTAGTCTGGTTGCTGTTAGGACATTTGAATATTTTCAAAGTGCAGTTGCAGTAAACCAATAGACAATAGCTGCATTAAAATTTCGTATGTAAGGGTATATTGTCTTTCCTGTTTGCAAATTTTGTTTGAGGGGTAGAGAGGCAGAGGAAGGGACAAGGAGAGAGAGAGAGAGAAGGGGAAAGAGAGAGGGAGGTGGGGAAGCAAGTGCTCCTATCTGCTGGTTCATGCTGGAGTCTCAGGCCAGCAACATCTCTGGCTGGGCTGAGGCTAAAGAAACCATTGGAAAGCACTCTGGCTTTCCT